TACCAGACAAGGGAGGCCAACGATGCTCCACTATGGCAGCACCGATAATATTTGAAAGTAGGCTTTGTGGTTTAATTTCCTTTGTTTTTTTTCCCCCCTTGTTCTGTAGCACCAAAAGGCTGACACAATAAAACCCTGCAGCCAATCATGTGTATGCATATTGAGGCAGACTTTAAAATGCATAACACATGCCCCTGATGGAATTGCTGTGGTCTGTTTACATGCCCATTTGCACAACTTTATCTACAAGGAAAATAAAAAGTGTTTTTACAGTCATGATGCTGTTGAAGAGAGACTATATTTACTCCTTGGGGAGTTGTCAGGACGTCAATGCAGAGGTGAGCCTTGTTTTGAAACTTGCTGTGTAGGCCGAGTAGCCAATATTTCAATAGCAATATCTAGATATATGGTAGGTTTTTTATGGTTTAGTTTTAAAAAAAACCTGCTGTACATTATGGTCTGAGAGTCTGCAAAATAAACTGCAGAAGGGATGACATCATTTGTGAGTATTCACCATTGGAGAAATTCACCCCATGCGGAGTGCCAGCTTGAGGCCTGTGCACCAGCCAAGCCTCGCTTAAGCTCTATTTTTGAGAGTATAAGTGATGCATCAGTGTTAGCGACTAAGACATGGGTGATCTGGCCTAGTAGCCAGAGCAGGAAACAGAACTGAGGGTCAGAATCAGAGCCAGGGGTCAAGCCAGAGTCAGAATTAGGAATCTGAACCAAGAGTCAGAGGCAGGGAAGACAGGAGTAGGGCTGGGTCCAAAGCAGGAACTAACATAACCCCAGGCAAACACTTTCAACAGCCAGTAGCCTGCTGCTGGTGTTAAGAGCAGGTCTGCTGATCCCCTCAGCCAGTCGGGTGGTTGGGCCAATCATGCAGCTAAATTGGGCCCAGTTGCACTCATTAGACTGTCTACGCCGGTGTTAAGGTAAGCTTGCAGGTAAGCAAGCTAGCTGCGAGCACTTACTCCTGGCAATGGGCCTTGTATTGGCCTTCTGAAGAGGGGATGAATTTTTCCTCAAAAGCTCATGCACTCAGTACACTTCTGGGTAGGTTGTACTGTTATAATGTAAGTCTGTTTTAAAAAGGGGAAATTCCTGCTTCCTCCCCCCACCTCAGGTAGAAAGGACACCAGTTCCATTGTATTAGGAACAAGACTATGGGAGGTCTCAAACAGGGTCTGTATCGTGTGGAATTGTACTCTCCAATGCATAAAGCAAAGGGGGGTAGGGCTTGTGGATCTGCAACAATGTAGATCAACCAACCATTCTTCCCATGTTGTTCCCCCCGGCTCCCCGTGAGGTGGAGTGCAGCAAATTCAGGCACTACTGCGATGCTGTTGCCATAACACTTCAGCAATGGCAATAAAGTGGTACCACAGCCTGGGTGTGCGTGTCTGTCATGGGACACCTACATACCAATTCCACTTTATCACACTTGGCATAAGGAATCAGATTTGTCTGTTCATTGACATCTTAAGTATTTTAAGAGACTCCTAGCTATTTATTTTAAATGTAAAGTTCAATCTACATTTTTTGGTACACTTTCCTGCTGAAAATAGAATTGATAACTAACATGGCCTTAAATAAAAGCACTTAATATAGAGTTTTATAAGGATGGAAATCCATCAGACATTCATGCAGTTTTCCATAGTGAATATGGGTCACCTTCTCAGCTTGATAGGACAGAAGCTATTTCTGAGGTGCAATGGATGGCCACGGGTCATAGTAATGGTCTGAAAGCTGGAATCTTTTATTTTTAGGACACCCGTTAAATCCAGCCTAGATTTATAGGATCTGATAGGGTTTACTTTCTAAGTTTACGACCTATGTGAACTGAGAGTCATATCAGTCCGGTTCTGAATGAGTAGGTGCCTACGTAATAACTAGAAAACTCAGCAAAGATAGACTGGATCCCAGAGACCAAACTCGTACTCCTAGAGGTGGTCCTTTCAGGATGGAGTTGAGGTGCATCAGTGGTGCAGTGTGCTGCATCTAGTGACACTGCCCTGGCCAATGCTTTTCCTTTTCTCTGGATACACAGAGGATTTTGGTCTCTAGGTCTTTCCATCCAGCATCAAAATCACTTTTAAAAAAAGGAAATGATATTCACCACAAGATCATGTACAAATGGTTGCACTCATTAATGTATCATTTTCTTCTGATTTTCAAGATTTCCATCTTTCCCCCTGCTCCGGACTGGACCTTAGTGTGGTCTTAGAAATTAATCTGAGGGACAGCATGAGTCACTGTACACAGCTCTCTCATTTCCAGCACACAACAGCAGCTTTCATTTGGTTTTTAACATGGTGAATTGGTTCAGGGCAGGCCATTGGAAAGCAAGACTCCTCATAGGTTCATGCTTGTGAGAGCTGACAGAGAATCCCTGAAATATGCAGTAAAACCAATAGTTCCCTGCAGAGAGGCTGTGCTGCAGGCTTCAGAGGCCCTGTCTGATTCCCAGGAGGCAGCAAGTGAGCTCCAGGCTTAGCTCTCATGCAGATGCACAAGCTGGAGTAAGGCAGCTGGGCTGGGGACTGAAGAGCCAAACTGACACTTAGAGTAAACCTAGAGAACCCTACAAAACTGACATTCTGGGGGTTAGAGGGAGAGAGGCCTCTGAGGAAGTTCCAGTTGTTAGAGAGCTGGATTGTATAGTGTAAACTGAGCTCTTTCTATTCATATGAAAACCTTTTTGGTTCTTTAGCCCAGTGGTTCTCAACCAGGGGTACACATACCCCTGGGGGTACACAGAAAAGCACTAGTGAAGTCAGTACAAACTAAAATTTCATATACACAATGACGTGTTTATGCTGCTCTATATACTATCCACTGAAATGTAAGTGTAATATTTATATTCCAATTGAAATTGATTTTATAATTATATGGTAACAATGAGAAAGTAAGCATTTTTTTCAGTAATAGTGTGCTGTGACACTTTTGTAATTTTATGTCTAATTTTGTAAGCAGGTAGTTTTTAAGTAAGGTGAAACGTGGGGGTATGCAAGACAAATCAGACTCCTGAAAGGGGTACAGTAGTCTAGAAAGGTTGAGAGCCACTGCTTTAGTCCTAAACAATAAAGTGTTGGGGAGAAAAGCTGTCTGGCCGAAAGCATTTTCTTTTTGCTGGACCTGCAGGATTCACAGAATCTCACTGAAACAGGTGGTAGAAGTCCCTTTCTAGTGCCTAGCACTTGTCTTCTGGATTTTCTCTCAAGGCCTTTGGTTGTGAGGGTAACATTTCAGTGTATTAGGCTAATTCACATTATGAAATTATCAGAAAGGGCTTGATCGAAAATACACTGAAGTTAATTAAGTGATACTTATTGGCTTTGGCTCTGGCCCAACATTTAATGGTGGTGGCAGAGCAGAGATAATAAGGGATTATGAAATATACCCGCACAAAGGACCAGTCTGTAAATTTGCATCTTCAGCAACTTGCACTGGCAAAAACCTAGCTTCACACCTGCAAACAGCACTTGCACATCCAAAACTGGTAGTAAGACATCAACCTCTTGGATTTGCCTGAGCAAGTGCTGTTTACACATGAAGATTTGCAGGGATGTGCATACAGATAACTGTGCATGGAAAAATAACAGGCACTAATTTGTGAGCTGTTTGAACAATGGTCTGTATAGACGTAAAGTACATTGGGATCCTTTGAGATGAAAAGCACTATAAGAAGTAAGTATGGTATTTACACCCTTTCTGACACAGCACCCTTACCTCTGATCTATTTAACCTAATCTACCTGGGCTTTTATACTGTACCCATAGCTATATCTGGGGCCTGAGGTAGATTAGGCTATAACTCATTGTAATATTTCTTTCTGAGTTAATAATCTATGCATTGTTACTTCTAAATTTACTGGCTCTACATTTATTTTAAGAAGCGAGCACCACTGCTTTAGTGGAATATCCTCTCTTCTCCCTGCCACTCCCCCTGGCACACTCACGACCACTTCCCTCCCTGTGAACGCCGTAAGGACAGGTTTTGTCCTGGGATTCTGAGTGCTTCCGGTTTTGTTCTGGTCTGAAATGGGGAAGGAAAACCTGCTTCACAGTTGGTTGATGCTTCTCATCTCACATGGAACTAGGAAGCACAGAGGGAGTTTGAAAATTTTGAACCTCTCAGTAGGTATGGGAGCTCATTTTCAATCTGGAGTCTTACACAGGCACACTTAGTGGGTTTGGACAAATTTGGGCCTCAGTTTCCTCATCTGTACAACAGAGCTAATGATACTTACTGACCTCACAGCACAGATCTGAGGATTAATTAGTTAATGTCTATATAGTGCTTTAAGGTTCTGGGGCCAAATTCATCCTTGATGTAACTCCATTTACCTCAATAGGATTACATCGGGAGTAAATTTAGCTCTTCAAGTCCAATTGTATATTAATGCTTCTTCTTAAGAGCGGATTGGTTCTAATTCTTTTGCTTCTTTATATAGCCTCGTAAGTATATACCCTGCACAGCAGGTAAACTGTGCCACACTGTGCGATATATGAGCTGTGCTGAAGAAATACCAGGTCCCTGCTTCAAAGAGAGAGCTCTCACTAGGTAGAATACAATACAGAGCAAACACAGAGTGAGGGATTGCCACTTGCACTAGAATGTTCTGTGGGATGGGGGGTTTCAGCCGTATTCTGAAGGAAGACGGCGCGTGAGCTGGGCATACGTTCATGAGGAGGCTTTTCCAGACATAAGGGGCAGGCAGTTGGAAGAGGTTGTGGGAAAGGCAAAAGGAACAGTCTGGGAGAAGCTTGGGAAGGACTGATTCATTCATCCCTAACTTAAATCCTGTCACAGGCGTGAAGCAGTAGAGGGATAGTCCAGTGGCATAGGGTGTGGTATGCGAAAGAAGCCCTCTTTGCCAAATGCAACAGGCCCAATATGAATAGCATCTGTGGATTGCATACTGCAATTGAGGCATCCTCAGAAAAACCACTATTGCAAATGGGGCCCTGTATGGAAGATTTTTGCCTCCTGGACCTGGATGTATTTACAGAAGGCAGAAAGGAGCAAGAGTTTTCTTTTGCCAGAGTCTGAAACAGTTGCCTTCATTGTCTGCCTCCTACTGTTCCACCTCCCCTCACATCTATACCCCTCCCAGACTCCCACCCTCCCCTTTGGGAGGTTTTCCATCTAAGTGTGAAAACTAGAAATCCCGAAGAACTGCAATCCAAACTCTACCTAGAGAAACTTTAAACCATTCATGCCATAAATATCTCTTAGAGGCTGCCTGACGTCAGAGGCTTCGGAGAGGGAGGCTGGTCTGAAAGTGAAAACAGCAGCAGTTCCAAGCCGAGTACAGTACTGTGCAGAGAGCTAAAGGAGAAGGACAAGCACTGCTCTGTGTGGATTATAGGACTGCAGAAAGGGGGGAACTGCGCAGAGACATGGGGGCTACAATGTAAGTGCGGCTGCTGCAGCACCTCTTCTAATTTCTTTATGAAAACAGCTCAGGCAAGCTCTGCTTTCCTTTCTTTTCTAAAACAATCTGGAGACAGTTTGAGAGCTTGGATGATTCAGGTTTGGCTGTTTGTTTCTCTCAAGTGTACACACGGGCTGACAGCATTCACGCTGCGTGTGTGTGTGTGCGCATGTGAGAGAGATATTTTTGGAAAGCTACCAAATGAATTGGGGATTGAAATGTTCTGGTAGCAGGACAGTTAAACCCCAAATAAACTCCCAGGCAAGATACAACTTTCTTCAGATTTTTCACACTATGTAATTTATTTTTAACCCTTTCATTCCTAACACTCAGCAGTGAGAGATTCCTCTTCCAGTATCAGAAGCAAAGCAGCTTCCTGGCTCTGTGGCAGTGGACGGAGAAGTTCTGTCCAATCCTGTTTGTCGGGCTTCTCAGGAGAGCAGATACTTAAATGCTTATTAGCTAACATGAATGAAGTCCTGAATACTAAGCACCTCAGTGCTATATAACCTTGTGCTGTTGGCTCTCTGGGGGAGTTTGGTAATTATATAGAAGGAAGGAATTGAGAACTCTCTAGTCAGAAAACTAACTGTGCCCTTTTTGGGGGCATCCCTGAGGAAGGCAGCTACTGCAGCAAGGAAAGACTCACTATAGAAAGGAGAGGAAGCAGGTGTGTCCCAAGGGATAACAGATGAAGGGATTGACAGCATAGACCAGCATTCTGAATCCCAATGAAAACAGTTTTTTTCTAGCTTTATAACCCAAAGGATTCTCAAGCAATTTGTGAAGTCCTCTCCATTAAAAAAAGGCATATTCATTATAGGACAAAGATTTTATGTACTTATCTTTTATGAAAATGGAAGAACATGCTGTACTTACTGTTGTTAGTGTAATTAAATTAGCTACCTCTGTATATACACAGATTCACTCACAAAATTCTCCATCTGCGGCATGAATAGCTGTTCTGAACAGACCTGGACGCTGCCAACTCCAGACTGAGTTGTTCAATGTGATCTCCTCTGCTTAGATTATGTCTTCTTTCTAACCAGACCCATGATGCTTTGAAGTGAATAAAGGGTTTTAGGTTTCCTTGCCCAGACAGACAGGAGAGTTTGGTACATATATGTTTGGTGACACTGACCTCATTACAAGAGATTTGAAAAAGACAAACTCCTTTCCAGCTGAGAGGGAGTTTGATCAGTGCAGGTGTTGTAAGGAAAGGCAATGCTGTTTAATGAGTTGGGATGAGTAGCAGAAGTGGTGTGAATTGTACCATGTCAGCGATGTCAGAAATTGGCTTCAACAAACAAGTAACCACAAAAAAGGCTGTTTCAAGTCAGTGCTAACTGGGCTGCTGTTTCTGTAATGCAATAAGTCTGCAAATACGTTTCTTCTTTTTTGGAGGGGCGGGGGAGGAGGAGGACAGAATTGGATGAGGAGAAGCTGAAAAAAAATGTCTTTTGGCTCTTTTAAGCTAAATCAGGTAGATCCAAGTTTCTGTATATAGAATAGCTGCAGGAATCTCCCTCTGTGCTTGAGTGGGTGGTGTAATGCCTCCACCAGCTAATGAAATGGGGCCCTGTTTCAATGGACAGATGTTCAAGGGCTAATCCAACTGAGCTATGCCATGCCATGCAATACAAGCTTGCCTGAGCTGAAGGAAATTAAATTGTACTGAAAAAGAACACGATTGTGCGCATGCTGAGGGCCAAATCCTGCTGTCATTTACCCTGGTATAAATCTGGAGTTAAATCTAGTGACTTCTAAGGTATTAGCTCTGGGTATGCTGGCATAGCACAGCAGCATTCAACCTTCCCTATTTATTTTTCATTGGGTTTTATTTCCAGTAACTAGGCAGCTGCTTTTCCAAGAAGCATTTCTTCACAACAGCCTAATTGCACTGGCTGTCTGGCAACACGAAGAAAAACCCTTTAAAAAGGGTTTTACAAGTTGTTAGGAGCTGAAAATGTTTTCTGTAAACACTGACACAATTAATGAGGGTAACAATGACTAGACAGACAATTTCAGGTGGCTCAGCAGTCACTCAGGCTGGCACTGAAGCATTTCTGTACCATAGTGGGCTGCTGGAGCTGGCAGGGGATGGAGGAGAGAACTTCACATGCAGGAGCTAGTGAGGAAGAGCTGATCATGTCTCCTTGCTTTCCATACACCCCCACCTGAGCAGCTAGCCTGGGAGCAACTCTCCCTGTAGATGTTTGAAGGCTTGGAAGAGGCTAGAGGGAAAAGAGATCATCCATAATGGTCCCCAGGGAAGCAGTGCTACATAGACAGCTGCTGGGGGGAAATGGGAAGGGGAGCCATGGACATTATAGGAGACAAGTATGGTGCCCCAGAATGAGTGGGTGAGCTGTATATAAATGTGATCTCCAATATGGATCAGATTACTTCAACAGAGAGAGCCTGCACTTGGTTGCTTCATTGATAGACACTAACCCTAAAATGGCGAGAGAATTTTGGAAGGCAGTAGAAAACAAATGCTGTACTAAAAGGAGAGTGTTGGTTTCTTTGTTGGATTCTGGCTTCAGGGTGCAGCAGGACAATTTCTCGATTAAAATCTTCATGCCAATCACTGTGTGACCCTGAAGTTTTAAAATATCTTCATTGTGTGCCATAAATCCAAGCACGTGATCTTACAAAGCTGAGTAAGCAGTTTAACCTTTTGACATCTTGTTTCTCTGTAATTTTTTGCTTGCTGGTGCTATACCTGCAGTTTACCTTAGCTGAGTTTTCTGTATCTCTGGGATATGATCCTGCTTTCACTGAAATCAGTGGAAAATCTTTCCAGCAAGACTGGACCTGTAGTCAAGGAACACTGACTGTAAACTTTCTAATCCACTCTTTTTCTTCAGGCAGAGCGTGACATCCTGCTAGAGTTTAGCAGTCTCATGTAGTCATCCTCCAGATGGAGCATTTCTGTTTCTGATCCTTCTCCCACGGCCATTGGAAGATTCCCAGGGGCTTTTGTGGAATCTTAAGAGCATATCAAGCCATTTTAGGGCAGCCACATGTCCTAATTGTTGAGAAATGGGAGGACCCCATTTCCTGACACTAAGGGAGAAGATGTGTGGGAGATTTGGCTCTCAGCTCTTTAATTAGTGTGAATTTTCAAACTCAGGCCAGTCCTATGGAGATCTGACCCACCAAGGCAAAAGCAGCATGTTCCTAAACCAAACAAAAACTGACTGCTCTGTTTTTAATCAAATGAAACAATTCATATGTTTGTTTTCATGTTTTTTATCCAACTACAAATGGACAGTGGTATCTCTTTAGGTTTTTTCCTCTCTCCACTCTCCTTCCCAAAAATGTGGCTCCTTTGATGTGCTGCCATTCCAGTAGGTTGGTCGCGGTAGTACTCATTGTAATAACATGTATCGGACCTGATTCTTTTTTCATATACATCAGTTTTATACCACTGTAACTCTATTGACTTCAACAGAATTACTCCTGATTTACACTGGTGTAAGTGATATCAGGATCAGGGTCATCAACCTCTAAGTGCTGTACAGACATTAACTGTGTCTCACAATGCTCCTGAAAGCTCAGTAGGTTAATATGATTGGATCAGAACATTAGCTGGTGTAAATTGCCATAGCGGCAATTGAGTTCCAGTTTACACCAGCTGAAGATCTGACCTGTTGTCTCCAGTTGAAAAAATGGGTGAACTGAGACACAGACCTGCTCACCTTTACACTAGTGAAAATCTTTAGTAACCCCAGAGAATTCAGTGAATTTACTTCACATTTCTATTGTAAAGTTCAAATAGCAGCAGAATTTGGCCCAGAGAAATTGAGGACCAAATTTTGGGTCTCTCAATTTTTGGGCTCCAATTTAAGACACTTAGGCACACAAACTGCGACACCAAAAATTACAAGCCACTTTTGTACATGCTGGCTTAAGTGACAATGCCAAACCTACAAAGTGAGTTTGATTCTTTTTACACCAGTTTTAGACTGGTGTAACCCCACTGAAGTCAATGGAGTTACTCCTGATTTACAGCAATATAAGTAATAGAAGAATTGGGTCCAGTGAGTCAGTGTCCAAGCTTAGAGAAATCTTGAGAGCTTTTGGATGTCAGTCCTTCTCTCACATATTGATCTCTTGAATGGTCATTTAATAGCTTCTCACAACAGTTTTTCCGGTAGAATCTGTAACTCCCATGTAGTGTTTGCTTTGTGGTCCATGTTAGAGTCCCTCTAATATGCAAAGTGCCTGTCACCTTGGTATCTAATCACTGAGGTCCTGGCATGTGTGGTGATCTCTGCTGCGTCAGGTATTGCCTTCTGATCTCATGAGTTTTGAAGTGCTGGAGGGAGGTGGGGCAGTGCATCTGACCCAGAGAAATCCAGAAGTCTGTGGGATTTGAATAGAGAAGCTACTCAGAGCCTTACAGAGAGAAAGTGAGATTTGAGACCCTTTTGATGAGTTGCAATCAAAGGTAGGGGTTTCCCTGGAGTCACAGAAAGGGGAACGGAGAGTCTTGTTTAAGGTAGGAAGAGGGAATCAGGTCTGGGGTCAGAGGACATTATGGAAATTGGAGCTGGGGGTCAGGCAAGGAATAGCGGCTACGACTTGACTGGAAGGAGTAGAGAGGGGGAAAGAGAGGTAACCTCAAGCGGCTGGGAAAAGCTTTAGATAAACTTTCTAGGGTCCATCACACATTGCCACCAAAAGGGAATGAACTCTTTCCCTAAATAGCAAAAGCTTGCTTACTTTCTGGATTTGTTGGCCTCAAAGCAATAATCTCTAAAGTCGACATTTCTTGTCACAAGCTTTGAAGTTCACATTTGTTTTTGTTTAAGAAGAATTTTTCTCTTAACTGAGTCCCAAGATGACTCAAACGCTGGCGACGCATGTTCCTGCCCAGTTCAGCTTTTATTTGAACTTAGTGTCAAGCTGAGCTTTGAGCCCCAGAAGCTCCTGTCAATTCTCTGTCCTTGGTGGATTTTTTAAAAAGTTGA